AATACGACAGTTGTATTAATTGTTGGTGTGTTTTTTTTATTACAATGTTTTATACAGACTACCAAACATTTAACGAATTGATTTCTTACTCAATACTTACTGCAAATTACAAATAATATGGAGTGTGAAAACAATGTATAATCATGGAACGTATAATAAGTCATAAAACATATTTTTCAAATTATTCAAGCTTTACACCTTAATACTACATCTTATACTCTATGACAATCTTTTTTAACTATGGTAAGAGATATTTTGTGTGTAGAATCTGTTGAATTTCGCGTTTTGACGGGTTCACTCCATTTCACCCTAAATTGTAGCTCGCAGTAGTAAACATTTCGGGTACGATGTCTCTCCGTCATTAAATATCGGAAAACGTTTAGCTGGATGCAGTTTTCACTGGACAACCAGAGAGTTGTTTAGTATGCCAGCCTGATTTAATTATTTAACTTAAATTTGTAAGCTTCATAAAAATTCTATGTATTGTTAGTATTATTACAAACGCTAAAATATTTTTAAAACTTCAAGCTGGTATCACATATAACTTTTTAATAGTTTTTAGTTTCCAATTAAGTTGAGCAAAGTGTTGCAGGTAACATCAACAGTTATATTAATTAAAGCATACATATTTTTGTCCATCACTAAGGCATGATTTCAATGATTTGACTCTTATGTTTGTCGCAGGTTGTTTTTGTCTTCTCGTAAGATTTCAAGTCTATCTGTCTATTTGTGTGGGTAATATGAGAGGGATTGTATAGAAACTTTAGATACACTAGTAGAACGAAAGTAATGTTTATTGAATACTAACTTAAATACACAAAGAAATGTGATCAAGAGTTATCTGAACAATCTTTTCCATTCCCTGAAAGTGCAATAAACAACTTGTAGGAACAATAAAGCCAAACGGCCACTCAATGAAATGTTGCAAGCCGTAATAACCGCATTTTGGTTTAGGGCTACCGACCTTTTATATCTGAATAATTAAAATTTTACTCTTGTACGATAAGTGTTATACCACTGTTCCAATATATTTGTATTCTCAACATTAGTAATCATAGTTAAAAGTGGATATACAAGAGGTCTACAAGAGGTCTACGAATATCTCAAAAACCGTTATAGCATACCATAAAGTAAACAATGTTCTTTGCATTAGTATTTAAAAATACAAATAATATCCACCATATTTTATGTTTCAAAACTCTTTAGGGAAAATATAAACTGGGGTGAGTGCACTAGTGAGTGTGGATGGCCACGTCCAGTGAATGACTGTATCATATAACGAAGCTTTTTGTTTCGACTAGTCTATCACAAACGGCCTTAAAAGAAACTTTGGATCCTGATTGGAATCTTCTCTGACACTGGTTAAAAAGTATGAGTTAATCAATCATCCTATTTATTGTAAAGCAAAGAAATTCGGTTTTCCTAACAGTCATAACATTCCTTTAATGTGCCACTCATAGTACTCACTGAAGTTAACAGCCTCGTTTAACACCACACAGTAAACTCCCGCTTATCTACAGGTATATGAGTAACGAACTAGACACTAAATGACAGTTGTGCCGTTTGGCGTAGATGTGCCCCTCCTTCCATCTAAATACTTACTTGGGTTACATGATGTACACATCATCATATTGGTTGTAAACATTAAAATACTTTATTACTAAGATATTGTATTAAGATACAGTTTCACCTGTTACATTTAGCTATTTATACGTTAGCTTTTTTGTAAATAGAATTTTTTGCCTATTTAGAGTTTTCAATTTATTAAAAATAATAATTATTAGTATATACAATAGGCAGAGCATTTTTTTGTAAAAGTGATATGGTTTGTGTGTATATTTACACCTGAGACATTTCTTTACATTTTTGTAAGAGAATTATTGTTCAAATCCTAGTCTAGTTACTATTTAACGTTAAACCTTTGTTAGCATCATTGACAGGATAGCCCCCAATGACAAATGAAATGTGTGTCCAGTTACGATCTCGCTTGGAAATAAATAATACCATTGACTATACACCTCTACCACCTCTACAACTGGTAGAGGTGTATAGTCAATGATAATACATGTTCCTTTTAAAACACGATTAAATAAATTTTCTCATTTACTTGGATCGTTATAAAAAATGTAGGGCATACAACTTTTTGTTATTTTTATATTCTAAGTTTCAAAAGTATGATTCTTATGATAATGTTCCTAAAGTTGTTTTGTATTCTAAGTTTTAAAAATATGATTCTTATGATAATGTTCCTAAAGGTATTTTAGAGGAATATGATATTTTTAATAGTAATTTTAAGCCAACTGCCAACGCAGTTTAAGTTGAAAAATACATAATTACAGTGCATTACCTAATATTAGCAAGGTATAAAATAAATTAACAAATGTTTAAGTAAATCATCTTTGATGTTTAGATTCAGGATGCAGTTTATAAGATGATTATCAAATAATTATTTACCTGACTTACATTGTAAAGGCATTTTTATCCTCTAAAAACCGTCAGAGGTAATTTATTAGCTAAAATAAACTAAATGTAAAGGAACAGTAACATAAAAACTGAGCATTAAATATTGAATCAATTTACGTGACTACAACGTTACTACAAGAAATATTTTTTACTCGTGATTAACAAATAACAAGTTATCTACGAAAACATATAATGCCCAAAAGAAGATTTAATAACTGTGAATGGGAATGAATCGATACGATGATATTAAAGGAGTTGTTTCCAATCCAGTAGGCCGCGCGGATACGTGTAAGTGTCACTACTTATGATCACTCCAGTGCACAGATATCGGGACTGGCAAACATATGGTGCATTCAGTTATCTGTGTTTCGAAATAACATGTTTTATCATTTGAAAAATGTAGAAAAATTACGTGCATACAATACACACAAATCACACTATACAATTACTTATAATACAATTTTTTATATTTTACTAAAGAAAAACTTTTGGCCTGGACTATTTTCGACTCATTCCACTATTAATTTTCTATTTTTTACCTTAGTTCATTGGCTATACTCCTTACGGGCAACCATCACATACAGTACAAAGCTTTAGAACGGCACGAATTTGAAATACCACAAATAATTTATTTAGAAAAAATGATAATTGTTAACATAAATCTTAAGTAGACGAGTGGAAGTTAATGTTTTAAATAAACAAAATAAAAATTCTTCATTTTTTAAATTCAGCGTCGGTAAAATAGCTCCCTTGGTTTTGCCCACATTGTTAAAGTCTGAAATGAAATCCACCAATACCGTTTTAAAAGCAAGATTACAACAATATCGATAAATTTTATTTTATAATTTTAAAACTGCAAATGCAAATATTCAACAGAGCACTCCTAATGATTGAATCATTTAAATAATTCAATTTTATCAGTATAAGCTCTGTATTTAACCTAATACAATAACATAAGACAGATTATATTACAAAGTAAAGAGGCCAGTAACAGGTTGCTGGGTGACATCAATAATTCTGTCAGACTGGACTCGAGGGTCAGTTTGGTCTGCAGCCAGGGACGATATTTCTTTTGTTAGGCTACTTTTCTTGTTAGGTCTTTGATGTGAATATAAAAAAGTGTAAAAGTTAACATTTATTTACCTAATAATAGGGTATGTTCTGTAATTTCATATAAATATAAAATGACATATATTTAATTAATATATGTAATTAACTATAATTTAACAGAATATATGGTATATTCTGTAAACATAAGCAGTTTTAGGAAAATTTACCTCATAGAGAATAAGATATATTACTGTAGGTATCATGGTAAGTCCCTCGATGCCCTGATGGTAATAAAGACAAATATAATGATAAATAGATAATGCAAATCAAAATAACACAGAAAAAACTTAAACATTAGCAATAATTAATAATAACAGCTGTGTTATTTACCCATATGTAACTAAATATCTTTCCTTTTCAGCCAATTTCCCTATAGGGAAGTAGCTATTACCGTAGGTGGAACGGTAAGACCTAGACCCGGGAACGATTTTTTAAAACATTTTGATGTCCCCAGAGTCAAGAAAACCCAATTTTTCAAATTTTTATATATGCATAAATATGTATGGGTCCCTCTCTCTCTCTCTCTCTCTCTCTCTCCCTCTCTCTCTCTCTCTCTCTCTCTCTCTCTAAATATATAAATATATATATATATATAAACATATATATATAAACATATATATATGTATACATATATATGATACATATAAAAACTTGCTTACCAGGTAGTCAACATTAAATTTTTTGTTTACATCTGACACCATGAAACAAGTTTAATTAAGAAATAAGGAGACAAAATGTGGATAGCAGTTTATATAAAAATACCCAAATAAAACAACACAGAAAAACATAAACGTTAGCAATAATAAATAATAACAGCTGTGTTATTTACACATTGTGTAACTTAACATTTTATATTACATGCCAAAACACCATCTTTTCAAATTCGTATATATAAAGTTTTATTTATTTATTTTTAAATTGGTTACCATGATAACTGGAGCAAAGAAAATTATCTTATTTCGATGACATATGGCATGGTAAATTATTCTCTTCATGAGTCATTAATTAGTCCGGTGTATTATCATATAAACTTATCAATGTTTATTATTACTGCACAATTGATATAGCCACTTTAGCACAAATTGTAAAGGTTTTACCAAAGCTCTTTGGATATATTGTCTGTGATTGTTGCCCACTGTCACAATGAGACCCCCGTAGCCTCGTTGCCGAAAACAATCGCCACTTGGAAACTCGCGTTGACCGAGAAACTTGGGAGCTTATTAAAATTATACACGCATTTGGAAACAATGAGATTTATTGATTAATCGACTTACTAAACTATACAGTTATGGTTGAGAGCAAACGAATTTAGAAATTTAAGTTAGAACAAAAGACATAAAATTTAGGTTAAAGGGACGCGGAGTCGCGTCTGTTTTAATTAAGATTTCAACGCGGACTGCCTTGTTCCTTCGTTGTCGGCAGTGCTGATGCGCCTCGTGGACCAATCAGCGTTCAGCGTAGTCGCTGAGCGGCACCCTGCGCAAGGCTCGACCTCTTTGCCCGACAAATACACTCCCCAACGGAGGCTAGCTCCGTCAGCAGAAAGCCCGAGTTAGCACCGGATATGCGCATATTCCAGCTTCATAACTTTTGCTACTAGAATAATGTTATAATTTAGACGAGGTTGGAGATAGTTTGGCGATGCTGGGATATTCATATGGAGACTCAATAATCTTCGAATAATTACTGAAATAAATATTTATTAAGTTCCTGACCACTGGTTTGGACGATGATCATATTGATGTATTTACTAATGTATTGACAAAGGTGTTATAGTTGATGTTAACACCAAACCAGGCCATTTATACAAATGTGGCAGTTACTCCTACCCTGCCAATTCCTTATTTAATTATCATATTTCCTGAGCAGTCGATTAAAATGAATTATCAAAAGTATAAACGGCTAGGCCGTTACAACAATAACAATAAGACCCAGATTTTATGAATTTGAATGGCTCACCCGTTATCTTGGCTATCTTTGGTCTTGTGACAAATGGGAATTATTTGGGACTAACTCGACAGTTCGCTGATTTATAGAACATTTCTTGCTTTCTATTTATGATTGAGTTTCTTTTGGCATGTCCCCAACTAATAATACGTTTGCGAATTTGAGCAAAAATGAAACTAGCCTACATGAAACAGTAAACTAACTAAACATAAACACTAACACTAAGTGACTGTTATGCATAACGTACTTGACAAGCAGGGAACATTTATAAGAAAATAGCTGAACGTTATAATAAAATGAAAAGGAAATATGCATATTTATTATTTAGAATCTAATTGTCAGTGACTAGCTCCTGTATATCTTGTGTTAGGGTCAACATGTTGTAAAATTTATAAAATTTTAACAAAGCATGAACATCTAATACCTAATATCTATCTAACCTATCTATTTAATAACCCTTTGATTAAAATACAGCGTACAAAAAGATAAACAAGGTTTCTACTTTGTTGATTAATGCAATTGCATAATTTATATGAGATAACTATAAATAGAATGTTAGGCAATTAGGAGTTTTCCCTGGACTCAAGAAAAGAATGATTACGTTTATAACATTTTCAGCTTTGTAGTAGAAACTCTTTTATTTGCACACTTAGCTATTAACGGACTTAGTTATAAAAAAACATTATAACTTTCAGCGGTAAAAAAAAAAACATTCCTGCTTGTAAATACGTAAAGTTTTAAGTTTATTTTCTTCCGTAGCTTGTGTCGAATATACAAACACTATTAAGGGCATTTTTAACACAGACAACAAAACTCTCAAACGGAAATACGGCTTATTGAATGTGTTTGATGTAAAAGTGTTGGTGCATTTTCCCCTATCTATAAACATAAATCTAATACATATTCAAACCCGTAACTGTTGAACAATACAGTTCTAGGCAAACTCTGATCGCACTGCGTTCACATACTACTCTGTTCATACAAAGGGAACAGAAAGCTCTCTCATAAAGCTGGGAGGGGTCTCATTTTAAAGGTCTGGGCATGAAGTTTTGGGGAAAAATACTCATTTTTCTTACTTATGCACCAAGAGGTTATTACAGGATAAAATAAATCACATTTCAATAGCATGGGAATCCAGGTCATGTCCGATTTGTTTACTTTAAAACATGTGGTTTAGATTTATTTAAAGCATATGGTAATATCATTGACTATTGGCTACAAAAGTTGTATTAATAGTGTTAAAGGTAGTATGTAATATATGTATTGTATGTAACTATAGTGCATTTGAAAGTAAACATGCGTATATTCTGTTGGCTTTAAACTAAATTAAAACTCGTTACATTCAATGTGTCTCTAACTGAGTGCCGTTTTCACATTTCGATAAATGGGTGTGTAAAAGACCAGAACAAATAGAAATAAATTAGACTCGTAGATGAAAATATATATATATATATATATATATATATATATATCGGCGGTGGTCTCAAGTTAATTTCATATATATATATATATATATATATATATATATATATATATATATATATATATATATATATATATATATATATATATATATATATATATATATATATATCATATGTATATAATGTATAATATAATATATCTATATATCTAATTCCGTAAGCCCAAAATTTTACAATGAAATTGTGAGCGAACTGGAGGCCGTAGAAAGCTGGGAGGGGTCTCATTTTAAAGGTCTGGGCATGAAGTTTTGGGGAAAAATACTCATTTTTCTTACTTATGCACCAAGAGGTTATTACAGGATAAAATAAATCACATTTCAATAGCATGGGAATCCAGGTCATGTCCGATTTGTTTACTTTAAAACATGTGGTTTAGATTTATTTAAAGCATATGGTAATATCATTGACTATTGGCTACAAAAGTTGTATTAATAGTGTTAAAGGTAGTATGTAATATATGTATTGTATGTAACTATAGTGCATTTGAAAGTAAACATGCGTGCAAATGAAAATGAAACAGCATTTTCTGATTGGCTTCTACGCTTATATTAGGTAATGGAATCTTAGAGAGCAATAGGGCAACACGGGCAATTGACATTCCAGATAACTTTGTTCTCTCTGATTGTACAATTGTTTATGGCAACTCAATAAATCCAGAAAATATTCAAAACTACTCCAATCAAATAATTGTATGTCCTTTAAATGAACATTGTGATAATTTAAATGAAGAAGTATTAAAAATCTACTACAGTAATTATGAAGTAGTTTCAGATGACCCTACAGAGAGGTTGAACATACCAATTGAGTTTATAAATATAAATTACACCATCTGGAATGCCACTACACAAATTAGTTTTAAAAGTTGGTTCAATAGTGATGCTCATAAGAAATAGGGTCTGGATTAGTTAATGGAGTACGATTGGTTGTGTTGGGTATGTCTGAAAAAAGTGTAAAGTTAGTAGTAATTACTGGAGTAGGGAAAGGGAACATATTTTTCATGCCAAAAATAAAACTAATATCTACAGATCCTAATATGCCCTTTAAATTTACAAAGGATTCAATTCCCATTGCGATTATCTTTCACCATTACTATAAATAAAGCGCAAGGCCAAACCTTCCCAAAAGTTGGAATTTATTTGAAAAAAAAAACAGTGTTTACCCATGGTCAACTTTATGTTGCTTTTAGCCGGGTAAAGCGGCCAGATGACGTTAAAATAGAAATAGAAACAAATAAAGACCAAGGAATGGACCAAAATGGATACTACACAACAAATGTTGTTTTCAGATAGATTTTGTTACAGAATTAGTATTTTACAATTTGGAAGATGACATTATCTCTATGTGTTGTGTTTTTCTAAGTGAATTTGTCTATATTAAAAAAAATGTATATATATTTAATTAATAGTGAAGATTATTGAAAATGTTCTTTTGCTGTATTATGATTAGAAAATTTATGTTACAAACCCACCACATGAAGAGTCCTTTTGAATTTTTATCCTAAACAGAGCAGACATAAAAATGAATTATGCAGGTATGTGATAACTGTTATACATTATTATAATATACAAAAAATTTAAACGATAATTCAAGGTAGGGTACGGTAACCCATGAGACAAATAATTTGTACAAAATAATTATTAGAATATATTACATATACTGTATATAGGGGCTATTGCCCCTACAAGCCACTAGTCAATAATAATCATATAATATATATATATATATATATATATATATATATATATATATATATATATATATATATATATATATATACTAGCTGTAACCCGCGGGCTTTGCCCCGTTTAACTTCTTAATTTTAAAGATTATCTCGTTCGCATGGCTCAATCACGTCCTGGTTGAAGTTTGTTCGCTACGCTCACTCACCTTTAGGTTGGAGCTCGTTTGCTGCGCTCACTTGCCTTCGGGTTAGCTCGTTCGCTACGCTAACTCGCCTCCAGGTTGAAGTTCGTTCGCTACGCTCACTCACCTTTTGGTTGAAATTAGCTGTTGTCATAAATGTAAAAGAAATAATATTGCTGCACCCTGTTGGTAATGCTTGTAACTTTAATGCTATTGAAAATCATAGAACAGAACCAACTTGTTTAATTGAAACAGCTGTTAAGTTTCAATAATTCTATTTCTCATAAGGTTAAAATGGGAAACTCCAGAGCCACTGGGGCGGAGCCCGAAAGAATTTTTGAAATAAGAATATGCACTTTTGTGATCAGAAGACTTAGTAATACAGTAAGCTTAGATATTTTGTTAGCAGTTTATTTCTCTCTAATTCAAAGTCACTTGATGTATGGTATTGTGATTTGGGGCTGTGATAATAATATTAAGAAATTGTTAGTGTTACAAAAAAGAGCTTTGAGAGTAATGTGTAAAGTAAGGAGAAGAACCCACTGTAAGCCACTTTTTAGAAAACTAAGAGTGTTAACTGTACCTGCATTGTATGTGTTAAATTTATTGCAATATATTAAGTCTAACATAAATGAGTTTCCTACCAATAGTTTAGTTCATAGTCATTGTACTAGACAAAATAGTTTTTTGAGAGTCAATCAGTGCAATTATCAAGCTACTATTAATTCACCTTTTGAAACAGGTAAAAGAATCTTTAACTATCTTCCTCAAAATATTAAGTTGTTAGATGATAAGAAATTTAAAACATGTTTACAAAGTTTATTGTTAGATATTTGTATATATGATGTGAATGAGTTTGTAGAATATTTGTCTCAACCCAATCTATATTTCAACTTATAGGTCTAGTCAATAGAATGTTAAATAGAAGTCTTGGATGTATACTAGGCCTAATGTTAATTATTATTATACTGTATTCTTCCCGGACGATGCCATGCATGTACCATGTTTTAAAGGCGATAAAGTTTGTCATTTGTCATTTGTCATTTGCCTATATGTTAATCGGGATTGAGAGCTACATCATGCCGAATTTCAGCCCAATCCGACCAGTATTTTTCGCGTAAACTTACTTGTCACAAACATACATCCATACATCCATACATCCATCCATACATCCATACATCCAAACTTTCTCATTTATAATATTAGTAGGATATATATATATATATATATATATACAATTATATAAAGACAAGAATGGGATATGTATTAGAGGTGGCTGTGGATATACCTAATAATAATAGTGGGAACTGTGAACAGATTTTTGTTCGTAGCATGCTTAGCAATATTGCAGCGTTACATTCACCTAGAAAATCATTTATTAAAACATTATCTAAAACAGCGCCGAGTTTCAAACGTACGACTTTTCATCGGCTTGAGGTGTACATGAGGCAAAACTGATGTTCTGCAAAAACTATATGGAGACAAATTTTTAATCTGATTGTTTGCATTTCTATTTACTGCACGATAAAATGAGCAAACTACGTTTATTTGATTACTCGATTAATCTAATCTATGTAAAAAACATAGACATTCTTTTTCGTAAATAAATTCTTATCTGTTTCCGTTTTTATTCTATGTCATGCATGTGTAACAATAAATTTCTCTTCGGTAAACGCAACGTGAATCGACCCACGGTAAGGGTCAAACAGCGCGTTAGATACAGTATAAAATATGAGTGTCCCTGTCCCGGGACACCAGCTGTTGAAGGTTGTTTGTCATTATGTTCCACGATACTGGACTCTGATATCGAGATCCTTTCAACTTACAACACTTGTCACGAAATAAACACAATACATACTTCACTAAATATAATCTCACACACAGGTGTTGTGTGTACTGTTCTTTACTTTTAGCTTCAATTGCTTTTCAGATTTTCTTATGTATTGAACTATTGATAAAGGTAAGCGAAATCACTTGGTTTAAATAGCATAACAATTTACCTAAAAGGGTAAAAATATTTAGCACACTAAAATTGGTCATAGTAAGCTAAATAAATTTTTGATGTCAGTTTTCAGAAAACATAATCTATTACTTATTGCCCTAAGTTGAGTAATATATTTTCTAAGTCGACAAGTAAAAAGGTATCTAGAAGCGGAAAGTTTATAGTAATAGTTTTAACGCTTACTTTATATTTTTGAGGGTGCTGCTTCCTTAGGGAAACTAAAAAAAAGAAAATAAAACCGATACAGATCTCGTTAAAAAATTTCAAGAAAACGTTTTATGTCTTTATTTTGTATTGTTTGGTGTGCAACATACTAAAACTTGACCAAAAACGGTGCACGGTAAAACCGCTAAAATTACGGTCACAATGGTGGCTTTTCCATCGTTGGATGTGCAGTAAAAATAAGCGAAAAATTCCATAAACCCCAAAAAATTAGCACAGGCGGAGAATTTGGTACAGATGTTGGGTGTACCTTCCTTTTGAACATACAAAAAGTCCCCTAAAATTGATGCTGTGCTACGGCCGCCATATTGGAAATGGTGGCATATTTCTGTATTTTTTGATATAGTGACTTTATTATTAGAGATAAAGGAAAAAGTTAAATATACAAAATGTAGTCCATCTAAAAATACACATTTTTTGTATTTACCATTTTCCTCTAAACCCAATGGCTTTTGAGTTATTTGTGATTAAATATATTTAGTTTTTCTATTTATCAAAAATAGGCGAAACCCATGGAAATCGACGGTTATTTTTAAGGTTTACGACAATTCATTCCATTTAGTTAAATAGTGTAATACACTATATAATCTCAAATTGTAACTTTATTTTATGAGTAAAACAACTCCGTCACAGCTAACCTGCAAACTCAGCAAGTTTTCATTTGATTGGATGTTTAATTAAATGTATATAAATAAAATTAGGTTTAACAGGTATCTAGGTTTGCTGCTACAGGGAGGGTAGTATAGTGCATATTTTTAGTAAATTATCAATAACTTAGTATCAAATAAACTAATTTTTCATTTGTCCAATGTTGGGAAAATCCGCAATTTTTAATAGGTATTTTTGGGGGGTTTCACTTGCACAGATATTGGACATCTTTTAGTATGTCACTCTGCACACCTAACACTACAAAATAAAGCTATAAAAGTAAATTGGCACACCCTTTAAAGTTAGTCATCTAAGGTATCTAAATATAAAACAAAAATTTAAGTTTAGTAAATAATTCTCGCTTATTGTGGTTGTTTCTATTTCAGTAGCTTTCAAGTTTTTATTCGGTACATACAATACAATAACTTACAAAGTCAATAGTTGACAATAAACAAGCAGACACAGCTTGTACTAAAAAGGAAAATAAATCGTTAATTTGCAAACAAATTACACTGTCCTGTGGAAGTAGGTAGTTTTTGTAAATACCTATGTTTTACAGTATAGTTTATTAGTTTCTTGAATAGATTTTATAAAAAAGTAAGACCGATGGATTGTAGTAATTATACGTCAACTTTATATTCGGAAGGGTTTTAATTTTTTTTTTTTTGGTTCTGGGACAGATTTATTCTGGAGCAAGTTACCACATGTAAAAATTAGGTTATCAGCAAATAGGTTTAAGAAAGGTTACAAATTAAATCTATATAAATAAAATTAGAGTTTTGTCTGTACATTGCTCAGAATCATAAATTTTTAGGTTATTTTTACGCTTTATACATTAAAGAAGCCGAAACAAGTCTCATCTACATTTCTGTCTGTCTTTCTGTCAGTATGTAACACTCAAGATGGCATTTTACGCAATCAGCAAATAGGTTTAAGAAAGGCTACAAATTAAATTAGAAATACAAATCATGTCAGGATCCCGACTGATCCGCCAAATTGGTAAATTGGTTTTGTGTTTATCGTGTGATAGACATAATTAACGATTTGAACACGATAACTCAAATTACCATGGTTAATCCACGCTGAACTTGGTTGACTCTAAAATAATACTTTAGAGTAAAATTAAAATTAAATGTAATTGTATTTTTGGAAGATCTTTTTTTAAGTAATTGGTAATTTATTTTAAAGAAAATATTTTAATCTTAAATTTATACAAATGACATAAACATTGGTTTGCAGTGAATAATCCGAAACTAACTGTTTTTGTAGTTTTTTGATAACCCACTATTCAACTTTCTATGGTTTCCTCTTTAAATAATTTTATAAACTTTTACTTTCCATTGAATTTTATCAACGTTGTTGATTTACAACTATCCTCTTTTAGAACTTAGTGTAAAATTTTAGTGTATTGTGAAGTAATTGTTACTTCACTATTCCGATTTCATTTAAAGAAAAATACTGAAGAGTTAATTTATTTTGCCTTTGATAGTAAATCAAGTATATGGTTTATACTGATCTTTTTTGGAATATTATTGTTTTACTTAACAGGTGGAAATGCATTTTAAGGTCAAATAGGAGTTGTTTTGTTTGTAATTCGATTAAAGCATAATAAACAACTTTCAATGGCCTTTTAGATCTAAAGATATGATACATAATCATAGTCTTTACATAATATAAAGAAATGTATGATTACAAACTACAAGAGGAAAATGCAAGATTACAAGACTCACAAGACTATGTACAGAATTAAATACTAGACACGTGCGCCTGCAGCTGTGGATATGAATAACTAAACGTCGCGTCGCAGAGAGTCCACATTGGACCCGCTCCTACACTTACGTCGCAGAGAAGCCACATTGGACCCTCTCCTACACTTAAGTCACAGAGAGGCCACATTGGACCTGCTCCTACACTTACGTCGCAGAGAGGCCACATTGGACCCGCTCCTACACTTACGTCGCAGAGAGGCCACATTGGACCTGCTCCTACACTTACGTCGCAGAGAGGCCACATTGGACCCGCTCCTACACTTACGTCGCAGAGAGGCCGCATTGGACCCGCTCCTACAGTTACGTCGCAGAGAGGCCACATTGGACCCGCTCCTACACTTACGTCGCAGAGAGTCCACATTGGACCCCCTCCTACACTTACGTCGCAGAGAGGCCACATTGGACCTGCTTCTACACTTACGTCACAGAGAGGCCACATTGGACCCGCTCCTACACTTATGTCGCAGAGAGGCCACATTGGACCCGCTCTTACACTTACGTCGCAGAGAGGCCACATTGGATCCGCTCCTGCACTTACGTCACAGAGAGGCCACATTGGACCCGCTCTTACACTTACGTCGCAGAGAGGCCATATTGGACCCGCTCCTACACTTACGTCGCAGAGAGGCCACATTGGACCCGCTCATACACTTACGTCGCAGAGAGGCCACATTGGACCCGCTCCTACATTTACGTCGTAGAGAGGCCACATTGGACCTGCTCCTACAGTTAACGTTGCACGTTATGTTTAATGCCATCACTACCTAATGCTACTGTTACCTACTGTGTGTGTGTGTACTGTTTACCTTTCCAAATGGCTTGCATCTCTAAAGGGTCTGCAATCTTGAAAAGTATTCTTTAAAGAAAAATAATCCTGCGCAGATGACGAGGGTTAAATTTTATTTAAATAAAACATTTAATTTTAAGACTTAGTTACAAAGGTTAATTAATGAAATGAATTGTTCTATCAATTAATTTTTATTAAGTTTTTTAGTATATGCTTAGACTGTAAAATCACTTAAAATTTTAATATTGAAGGTAAAGTACTACATGTTTACTACCTTATGCTGATGAGGTTTGATCTGATTAAAGAAATCCGCTGTGAAATAACATTTGTAATCTAGTTGTAAATATAAATGACACAGGAGAAAATTGTGTTGAGAACAATGGAAGCTGCGGAGGGTAATTTATCAAAGGCATTCCTGGTGTTACTCCTTGGATAACCTTCCTGCAATTGTGAGGATATAACTGTCTCACTATACATTACAATAACAAACCAGCGATCAGAGTATTTTTAAATGGCGAACGTATGAATTGATCCAAAGAATTTATCGTTTGTTAAAGATTTGTTAAAGGCCTCTGTATAATTACGTGCATTGCTTACCTACTCTAGAGAGATTCATCCTTTTTACGAAATGTGAAAACAACAAGTTACCACATTAATTTACGTGCTCAATAAACCTTCGTAATAAGGTGTAAGAAGTACGACGTGTACTTTCAGGTCAAAACGATATGGCTTGTGTGTCATATCTATGATTTATCGTACGAGGCCATCGCCATATTGTTGTTATGATTAAAAGGTAAAGGTACTCAAGTATTTTAAAATACTCAATTATCATTAGAGGCTTTGAATTTTAACTAGTTGATTTTAAAATAAATATTCCTACCTACATTTTACGTAGTGTGGTATATCGGGTTAACAATTGTAGCTAAGGAATTTGAATCAAATTTGATCGAAGCTATTTTTGTAAGTTTTATACAAACCTTAGCTGCTAGAGAACATTGAGCTACCAACCTTGACATGTTTTATTCCAGTGAAAATACCAACTAACTGAAACATCGCGTTAAAAATGTCTTAAACTCGATCCAAATTTGACCTTTTCGGAACTATGAGGTATAAAAAGTGTATTTTTTTTTTTATAAAAGTTTTATGCCTTTTAAATTGAAGGTTCAAATACAATACACGTTGTTATCGAATAGAAACTAGTTTTGTGAAATACAAATTGGTGACTGTACGGCCTTAAGAGTTTTGAAGATTTAATGCGTAATATTTTATTTTGTGTTTTGTCCAAGAAAAGGTAATGCCAAAACGGGTTGGTTGTGAGTTTGGGGTCTGTATGGATGAAGATGACTCGTTCAGTATGTAAAGCAAACTGTTAAATTATAATTGGGTTAAATTATAATTCCGTTAAAGTATAATTGGGGTGAGTTTACTTAAAGTAAAGTAACATTGGTGACTATCTTGTTGTAGATACAAACAGATAGAAAAAAAAACTAATCTCCAAATTTTCAATACACCAGCCTCTAGTCCATTGTATTCTCCAAGTTAAAAGGGAGAAAATAGATCGGGTGCTAGATGACGAAAAGTAGAACGTCATCTTTGGATACTCGCAAGGTTAAGATGGATTAACCAATCAAATACAGCAAAGTTATTTATTCTACACCTCACAACAGGATTTATTCATGACATCGGAGTTTCTGTGTTATTATTTCGGGTTTTTCGTATAAAAATGAAAGTGGAAATGCGTGTATTGTTACAATACGTATTTTGTACGTATTTTTTAACGTAACCAAAACGTATCATTGATTATAAAATTGTTTGATACCTCTGGACTCATGCATTTTGTAAGCATTTTTGTGCAGGTAATGCATTTCAAGTCAAAAGTAAAATAAAGATCCTAATAAAAGCTGTCATGAATTTATGTAAATTAAATGATTTGCATGTTGTTTTTTCACGCCATGATACGCCATAGCGTGTCAAAAGGAAAAACGGCGAAAGTAATATTATTTTAAGCCTCGACCTTTATCAGAAGCTACAAAAACTTGTTTCGTTTGGTCACGTTTAGCAAATGACTTGTAATTAAATGCTTGATATAAAAGTTTTATTGCTTTTTACGTACAGTAAGTTAAATACTAATCGAAAGTATAAAGGTTGTTTAATTTAATTTCCTATGGTTATTCTACATTGCATTTTAGGTAACTATACACAGGAAATGCAGTAGTGTAAAATACTGCACAGGACTATCCATTGACTTACGGATTGTGGCGAACACATCGAAGGTTAAAAGTAAAAAGGTCTTTGTGGTCAGCAAGCCATTTTTTACAAATCGTAACTCCTAAACAAGTAGTTTTACAAGGAAAATGTAAAAATTAAAACGTGTGGCCGTTGCATTTAATTGTAAAAAAACATATGGTGTTTATTAAGAAATTAAAAGTATATTCTTCATACTTAAAATAAAGATATTATTTGAAGTTGTAGAATTATATTTTTTATTTTATAAAAAACTAGTTGACGTTTAAATTAATTGCTTTTAGTAAATCCAATAGTTTCTGAGATTCTAATTGAGACACTTTTAATTGTTATATGTACATAAAGACGCTTGAAACATAAAATTTTGCAATTTAGCCCTTAACCATTTTTAGGAGCTAAAAAACTGATAATTTAGTACGTTTAAGCGTTTTTAATAACCACGTTTAGTTAACACAATTAACACTTAGGTTACTATTTATTATTTTTATGTCTCTTTGCATTGCTTCATTGTCGTTGTTATTTATATTTTACTCAATTTAATTGTTGTTGTATATTACTATGTTCTATTAATTTGTTGCCTGATTCATTCTTTCATTTGCCTGGGTACCTGATTTTAACACTTTCCTCATTGCTCTTGCTTGTTCCTTAGCTTTGTAAATGCTATATTTGTTATAATTTGATGGTGATATTTTTTCCAATTTGTTTTGTTATTGTTATTATATTTCCATGTAAAGTTCTAAAACAAATCAGCCATATGTATCTTATTGTAATAGTCGTGATTCCGTATACAATAAATAAAAATAAATAAATAAACGTAACAGTATAGTGTGTATTTTAGTGTTAAATTCAGTGTCAAACTAAGACTTTAAACTAAAATATTATTTGATTCGTGTTTTTTTTCCATGACAACCATTCCAACATTTGTTAATATGTGATTCTCTTATATAACTATATTCAGGATATTTATTCATCGTAGAACTGGAGCAAACTATTTGAGGTCCTATAAACAAGTGGTTCAATCAAGCAAAGGCTGTAAAAAGGACAACTTTTAAAAGAAGTGCTTAATCAAGACTGTCTTGTTAAACTCTAGAGTGTTCATTTTACGGCTGTTTTTACTGTGTATTCGCTCAACCAATTATAATTGAGCGATAAAAACATCCTTGCTGGTAATTCATAGCACATATCTTTTCTTAGTCTTATTTGTTGTGAGTTCTAATGTACACTATAGTTTGTCGTGAAATAACTATTTGCACATCGTTTGGCAACTAGACAACGTAATATAATCGTGAAATGTGTCCTGAAGTTTTGATTGTCAAGAATATATTGCTACATTATCACTGTTCATTATTTTGATTCCTTCAGTATGTCTACTTAAGTTTAGAAGAATAAAATTAAATTTATGTTTCACAATTGTTGGGATATTTGGTGCATCAAGAGATATGTGATAATTTAAAGAAACTGATCATCCTACAAAATCTGAGGACTAAGCGGAAGACTCAGTTAGGAGTTAGAAACTAGCATTTTTTATATCATACATTACATATATACAAAGAGGCTCCTCTTCTCCATACTCATGAAGACCAGGAAACTGATAATTCTCGAGGTTTAATAGGGTGTGTGTGTGAGGGTGAGACGTTTTATTATTTGTTGAAACGTAATTATGCAGTAGTGGAATTTTATGCTTTTGGAATTTTACCCCCTGAGCAAAACGGACGTCACAGCCTTGGGCGTAAAATTCCAGGCTAGGTCTCTTGAATAGCACAACATGAGTTGAATAAACTACAGGTGGAATTAAACTTCTCTTTTCACGGTTATGAATGTAATCTGAACAAATAAATTATGACACCTAGAGTGAACGGGCCGGAATTAGCCCCAGACTTTTATCCCCATAAAATGTTCAACTCAAAATGTACGGCCCGGATCATTACCCTTGGATTTTGAACCATGGCCAGAAACACTGCGCAAATCATGTCAGTAAATAAAAATTTTAGCCTAACCTGCAGCCTTATATGAAAACTATAGAACTTGACCAACCTGAGTACATGTGTGAGAAACTTCTGTCTCGTCGAAATGTCTCTGTCAGCATCACGAGTTGTTACACCTTCGCAGAGGTTTCATATGGATCAAAAGAGTATTCAATTGAAGGGAATAGTTTTTTTAGATTGTTGGTAGTTATAAATATTACCAAAACGTTTGAAATATTTCATAACTGCGTTCATAATCTGATTTATTTAATATTGTATCACCTTAGCAAAGGTAACGGGGTGACGCAAGAGGCATTGCAAAGAGCTTTTATTGCAATATTCAGTACTGGAAGAGAGGGGGCTAATGTGTTTTATAGCCTCTCTTCGCCAACTGTTGTATTGTTTTCCTTATACGTAGTCTCATTTCTAAAACACTTTCTCTGGTTTACTTAAAATATTCAATTAAATTGCCAATACCTATTGTGGTACAAATGGTATGCAATTTAATTAAATGCGCCATTCGTAATCTTACAATGATAAAAATATGATAATATTCTTAAAATAAGGAGCTCATATAATATTGTACTTTAGGACCCAGCGTATAAAAAAATCATATCCGAGGAATAATCGAATTTATCATTACTGATTGAGTAATACATTATCTTGAACTTAGATGAATCAACTGATCAATAGCCCAAATTAAATGATATAATTTACTGTTTATTTTGAGTCTAAAAA